ATGACCCCGCCGGGCCGGTGCACTTTATCACCGGGGCTGCGGTGAGTTTTTGTTGTTTAGCACTTTTTTGTTTTTGTAATTTTAAAATTTTGATTTTTTTTCTATCAGGGCAACAAACAGGAGCACGGCAGCTTCAACAAGCACCCCAAGAGCTGGCTCTTGCACACCTCACCAGATTACGGCTACACCCGACTTAGTTTCAAGTCACGCCTGCACCTCGTCCTCGAGCAGACTTCAGATGAAAAGGTGAGGGTTTTTTAATGCTGAAAATAATTTTCTAAGTTGACTTTAACCTTTTTTTTCTTTGTAGGGCGGCGCTGTGATTGACAAGATTGAGCTGATCAAGTACCAGAATAGTCCCACCTGGGCGAACTTGCCCTAAACGTTAACTGTTTTGGGGGTTTTCCCCCTTAAAGTTCACACTGCCTTCCCCCCCCTCCCCTTCTCATCCATCAAATGGAAACATCTCGATACACTTTTTTTTCTTGCGTACACTTGGCAGTATAAACAAAAGTACACTAGTACAGTGACGGGTACATACACTTTTCACACTCTTTTCGTTGGACTACTTTATAGTCAGAGAGCCAGAGAAAAGTTCATCGTGCACTTTAAAAGTGCATTTTAGTGAGGATTATCTAAAATTCAAGTCTTTTAGAAACACCAAAAAAATAAATGGATTTTTGTTAAATCGAAAAAGAACTGTGCGTGTACTCCTTCTGTTTTTTGTGATTTGATTGTACTACTATCGTTCTTGCTGCCAGTGCAAACACAGCAATCACTGATCTTTTTTCTCTTTTTTGTTAGTTTTGCTAATAATTTTTGTTTTTCTCCTCATTTGTCTTCCCTTCATCTGTCAACAGTGCTCTTTATTCAACATTTAACGTGAACTAGACTCTTCTTCGGCACACTTTCTCCAAAAGTGAAAGTGCCAGTTTTTTTACCATCATCCCCGTTGTAGCTCAGTTTAGCCAAGCACACACACACACAGAAAAGCTGGCAGACATTTTAATGCAAACAACGAGAGGGAATAGAAAAAACAATAGAAAGCAAATTGAGATGTACAGGTAATGCAACACAAATTTTAATGAAAGCAAACACAGCTGTGTGTTCGATGTCCAAAAACTGGTTCCAACAAGTTTTCTAAGTTTGGACAGAAGGATGAGTTTCCGAGTAACCAGAGGCAATTGGTAATGGGTAGGTAAATGGGCTATTATTATGATAATCACGGATTGATTTAGTCAGTCGTACTTTGGTCTTTGTGAATCATTTTTTGAAAAAAATTACTAAAACTTTTTTGAAAAATGAAGCTTCAAACTTTATCCTCCAGCGGGTACTTTTCTCTTGCTTTTCTTCTCTTCTTCCTCTTCTTTGTTTTTACCGCCAAGACGATAAGAGTCGTAGCGTAAGCTGCTGTACCGCTGTTGCTGTAATCTGAAACCTAAACAACGCTTTGGTATAATTTTCCTTTTGTTAGTGCAAATTCTCCATCAGTTGAAGCAGGAAATCTGACGTTGAGCGTAGAAAGTGTACCGGTGAAAAATGGAAGTGGACCACAGTCCCTGCTCCAGCGACTGAACGTCCGGGTGAGCTCAGCGTGGTCAAAGTTCAAGTGTCAGTTTTACACCAGGGCCACCGTTCCTGGTAAGCTCCATCTAAAGTTGAACAAAATTGATCAATTCCCTAATCTAGTTTTTTTCACCAGTCTCCAAAATGCTGAACGTCAAAATTCCCCGCTCCATGGAGCTGTCGAACATCACCAACTGCCACCAGCTGAACGTGGTCGTCGGCCAGCTGGCCAACAGCACCGATTCAATTGTCGACAGCCAGGTAGTTGGTCTGGAGTCGGAGGCTAGTACGGCGAGAACAAACGCCGCTGATGATAGTGGAACTTCAACTGCCAAGAACAACGACGACGAAAGCTCTGGCCCGACAACAACACCATCACCACCATCCACCGAAGTGGTCACCACAACAGTGCCACCACCACCACCACCTTCAACATCATCAGCCGAGCTATCATCAACGACATCATCATTATCACCAGTGACCACCACTGCTACTAGTGCTGCACCAGAAACGACAGCGACGAGTGCACCGAGCACTGAAACTGTTTCGACTTCAACTGTCGCTTCGGTTGCTGGTGACAACAACAGTCAGTCGACCACTGTCAGCGCACCCGAAGAGCTCTCAACGCCCGAACAGAAACCGGTCGTGGGCGCCACAAATTAACACTTCGAGGCACTTTCTCTCTCTCTTTTTCTCCCTCTCTCCTCTGTCCAGACAGACGCTAATTATTTCATTAAATATGACACTGATGATTGTGTAATGAGAAGCGAGATGAGTAATAAAAAATGCAGACAAAACACACACACACTGTATTNACAGCAGCAACAGTTGAGTTCGATCTGCGATCTGTTGACCTCATTCTCCCCGGGAATGAACTCTGTTCTGCCTACTCTGTCTGCCTATCTTCTTTCGGCGACTACCTTTCTTCAACGAGCTCNAATGCAGACAAAACACACACACACACTGTATTGTCCGAAACTCCCCGTTGTTCTCCAAAAGTGAACATCATGTTGAGTAAACAGCAGCAGCAACAGTTGAGTTCGATCTGCGATCTGCGTTGACCTCATTCTCCCCGGGAATGAACTCTGTTCTGCCTACTCTGTCTGCCTATCTTCTTTCGGCGACTACCTTTCTTCAACGAGCTCAATCGATCAGTTTCACTCCCGACTCGGCTGCACAGTGTCTGCTGCTGCTGTCATACTAAAAAGTTTCCACCGATCACAAAATCGTCCCTCAAATTACCCACCATAAAAATTGGTTTTCAGCTAAATCGAAACGACAGAACAGAACAGAACAGTACAGTCAACAATGAAGAAGACATCCTGAGCATCCATCTTTGTAGCCAAGTACTCTCGCTTTCCCTCCATCCTCAAGCTATGCTAGCCTCACTGGTGGCGGTCGCTTCCTCCTCTG